ATAAACAATACAGAAAATCAAGCTAAATTAACTAAACAATAATAAAGCACACACAAAACAGCAGAAAAATTCCTCACTGAAATTAATAGAAAACAAAACGTTTGTAAGCAAAATGCATGAAATCAGACAAGCAAAGCACAATATCCTAATATACAAAATATAAACATAACTTGAAAATTGCAAAAAAGTACTTACCGAAACTCATGCAATCACAAAATGGCGGCCACATCACGTGTAAAAAAGAAAGCAAAAAATAAGCCTGTTTGGGGCTTCTATAATTAAGACACAATAACACGCCGAATAAATACTATTTCAGAAGTCAAACAACAAAAATCAGCGTTGCTACGTAGACGATACTTTTACTCTGTTTGAAGGTAATAAAGATGATTTAAATAAAGTTCTTTCAACAATGAATTCTATTGATCCTGCTATTCAGTTCACTTTTGAACTTGAGACTTGCAATTCTCTTCCGTTTTCTCGACATTCTGGTCACACGTAACACATCCAACTTCATTCAGTACTACGTTTACCGTAAACCTTCATCGGTTTGCCTTCCACCACACTTTAAATCATGTCATCCGACTAAACAAAAGTTAGCTTCATTTTATTCCTATGTTTTCCGTGCTCTTCAAGTTTGCTCCTCCATCCTCCAAACTAGCCCTTGATGAAGAACTAAATTATTTAAAAGCAATAGCTATTGACAGGGGCTTTCCACCCAACATTATTAACCAAGCAGTTAAAAAAATTCTCATCCCAACACACTAAAAGGCACACCTCTTTGTTTTAGGAGATTATAAAATTCTGTTGTCATTCCCTTCTTTCCATCAATTAGCTATAAAGTTGCACATATTTTGCAGAAATTTAACTTTCGGGTTGTTTATTCTCCCATCAATAAAATTCCAAATTCCGAGTTCCATACTCAAGGACCCCATTCCGGATATGAATTCCTGGGGGTATTATAGGATTCCTTGCCAGTGTGGGTTTAATTTACATTGGCCAAACTAAGAGCCTTAAAATTTCGCGTCAAGGAACATGAGGCATATGTTAGAAAATAGGAAACACAGAAGTCTTCTGTTGCTCACATTGTTGGTCCGAAAACCACACTTTCAGTTTTTCTGCTGCCAAAATTATTCAAAAAACATCTTCCATTGGAGAACTGGATTTTCTAGAGGCATTTCACATTCATAAAAATCTTTCTGTTCTAGTTAACGATCCTAATTCCAATCCAAATTTGCCTTCGGCCTTTAAAGAAATTATGTTTTAGTTCTGGTTTCACCAACAGATGGCGCCACTTGCTTATTCTTGTCCAGGCTTTGTTATCTTATCTAATCGTTATTTCCTATCTGGTTCATTTGCGGTTTTGCAGCTGAAGATGCTTGTTCGGTGAAACCTTCGAAACTAGTCCTGTGAAAATTTGGTAAATATAACGCTGATTTTTGTTGTTTGACTTCTGAATTAGTATTTATTCGGCGTGTTATTGTGTCTTAATTATAGTACTTCATTCTGTTAATAAGAGTGTAGTAATTTTAGTATTAGTAATGTGTTAGTAATATTTTTGGTATTAGTAATATTTTGGGAACTTTTTAAGTGGGGGTGAAAGTCATTAGAACGTACTTGATTCTGTTAATAAACAGTGTAGTAATTTTAGTATTAGTAATGTAGTAATTTTTATATAACATCAAAATATATAAAGCAAACTTCTAAACTTAATTTGCAACAGTTTCTTAACATTCTAATTTAATATGGACATTTTCCCTCTCCAGTCTTTTCACAGATAATTTGCAAACTAATTCAAACAACCAAGATCGAAATTTTTAATAGCCAATGAGGGGACTGCAGACCAAAACATTTCTCGTTTTAAATTAAACTTCCAACATGTAATAGATAATTTTTTACTTCTGTTGCTGCTGATTTGCTGCTTCATTTGTCTTGAAAATTAGGTTTTTTTAATATTGCAATGATGCTAATTTTGTTCTTACAGAACAAATTCCTCTTGTGCCTAGTTATTTTTTGTTAACGAATGAAAAATGAGTGTCAACCTTGAATAAAAAGGAATATTATTAATTTGACCACGTCTGCAAGTTCTTCATTTCGCATTTACATGGTGCAACCTTTCTACATGATTTTATATGTATATCAAATGCAAAATGAATTAATATTTATTTAATTCATTATTATTTTATTTTTATTTGAGTTTATTTTGTATTATTATCCCACTTGTTGCTGATTTCATCACACAATTGGATTAGGTTTTGAACTTCCTTTTTTGCTTAGCATTTTTTCATTATATATATATATAGAGAGAGAGAGGGTTTAGCAATTTGGAAAATGACCTGTGCAGACCTTTTTTTTAGAGAATACATTTATTTTTAGACTTTACGTTTTTCCAAGTAACTGCTAACTGCTGTGCATTTCGTAAAACTTCAAACTTAACAGATCACATGTGTAATAGAAACAAATAAAATGTTGTACTTTCTTATTATCTTCACACGTATTCAAAAGTTATGAAAGAGTGTTATTCAGGCAATACGCAATGTTGCTAAAATATATTTGTGCATATAGTATATGTGCATTTCAGTATATGCAGTTTTCACTTTTGAAATTCACTGCCCACCTTTCCGAATAGTATTTCATTTTGCATTGAGTGCATTTGTTTTTGTCATAGCAAATGATAAAGAAACTATAGAATTTACCATCTGATGAAATTGCATTCTTCAGAAATATGGAATTTTGCATACAGTATTTGTGGTTGTGATGTAAAAGGCACAACCACTGTTGATTTTAGGCTGTAATGTAAATTTCTGTATGTTTGTGTATCTACATATATTCAAAATACGTTAAGAAGCCATGCGCTGCAGGAATATCCTGAAATATATTTTAAAAACTTTATATTGATTGTTTTATTGCATGAAGATACTATAGCTTGTTTCGTACTGAGAAATGTTTTAGGGCCTCTGAATACGTTCTTGTTTAACTGTCCTAAGACTAGTCCTGTCCACATGCTAATATACATTTTGAATGGGTAAGAAAAATTTAGATTGTTATGTTACAAGTAATTCAAGTAGTTCATTATTTAATTGGATTTTATTATTAATTTATGCATTGTCAATTAAATTTTAATTGTAAGCTTAGCGTTGAACCATGATAACCTAAATAAAGGTGACAATTTTTGCTTTTAAAACATCTTTCTGAAAAATATATCAGTCATATATGTTCATCCTAATAAGGTAATAATTAAAGTAGATTTAAAGGTGCCTCTTTCATTATCGCTAAGTTCTTGTTTCATTTATCACCAAGTTATTGTTTCATTTATGGCAACTTGAGTAGTTGAATGCTATATGGAAACCCTATTATGACGTAATTGATTGCATGATTGCGGAGAATTTGAATGATGGGAAAAGATTTGGAGAGGAATATTTTTGTTTTTTGTGTGTCGGATTTTGGGTAAGAAGCACATTGTTATTTTGTGGTTTACACGCTAAAATGACTGATTGTGGTACGAATAATTTGAAGTTTCTGTACGATTTGGAACGAATGGGAAAAGGCATTAATTGACATATGTGTAAATGAAGGTTTACTTAGTAGCCATTATAAATATCCTGTTTGTAGGAAGGAAAATGCGCATGGTCGAACGTCGGAGGATACCGGCACTACGGAGGATATTTTTGACTCTTACTTTTGTGAATTTATGTTGCGACGCCAATATACAGATTCTAGTTCAGATAATTTTATTATTGCGAATTAAATCATGCTTAATCCATTCTGGAATTATCATTTAAGTTATTAAATTATCTCATATATTGACACAGCATAGCGTCCACAACAAATTAAGTCAGTTTCTACGCCTTCAGTGTCTTTTTTTCCAAGTGAGACCAAAAGTAAACTTTCAGTTTTGTGCATTGAAAAATCTGCCATTTTGTCTGCTGGTCGAATTGCTTAGGAATTGTAAAAATTGTTTTTTAATTGTTTTAACTGTATTTGGTGTTTTATATTTTTCTATATCTTTCAATATTTAATGAAAATATTTTGCGTTTTTATGCATTTTTGCTTTGCCGCAAATTGAGAAATGAATTAATTAAATGAGAAATATATCTCTAACGAAATTCGAGGAAATTAGTGTCTGGTATAAGGAGTAAATATTATTGCCAGTCTGTCTCGGATAGAGGAGAATGTGTACGAATATCGCATGCGCATTAGGTAAGCAGCACTGAATCGTCTGTGAAAAACTTTCCGTTTTAATTGTTTCCTTTCTTTTATACTTCTTTTTAGATTCATTATAGTACTTGAATAGAGCATGTGGCAACGATTAGATAATTCTATTCAGATGTTATAATTTTTGTGAATTCCAAGTTATAAAATAAATGAAATGTAACGCTGTTAAATGAACCTAGCGCCAGAGTGTCGCTATGGTAAATAAATATAGTGAATTTTAAAGAGTGCATGTATCTATTGTCGTTTAGGCACTGTTGACGAAGTAGATTTAATTCAATTCTATAATTTTGAATGAAATGCTGGAAAACATGTGCATAATTTAATATTCCGTACAAGGAAATCATGTGCTATACACATCTGATTTTTTTTATTTTTGCCAAAACAAATCTGTAATTATTTTAAAATGTAAAATTCAAAATGTACGCTTGGGTATGCTTGAGATTTTCCAAAACCGGACTTTACGCTTGATCACTGGAGGTGATACAGAAAACAAGTACAAAAAAATCAAATAAGTATTTTTATTGAGAAAAAGAAGTAAATATTTTGTTCAGTAAAAATTTTTGTAAGGCAGAATTTCATATATTGTAGAATTTTATTCATCACTTTATTAGTAAAAAATTTTCTGAAGTTACTGGAAAACAATGTTTTTCAAAGAGTTCATTGCTGATAATGCATCATAACAATTAATATGTTTTTGAAATAGGAAAGCTATATTACATATAAAATTTAAAAAATTCAAACGAAATAAAGAAATTTTAGGGATATTTATTTTAATTATGTGAACATACCTGTAATTGTATCCACCGAATTCGAAATCGATTAATATGATGTCAGGTTCGCTAATTTTTAATGCATTTTCTCGAAGTAAAATATTTCCTGTCAGAAACAAATTCAAGAGTTATTTAGAAAGTAATGTGTTTTGATTTCTCACTTTCAGAAATACAGGTATTAATTCTTCTGATAAATATAGTTTATAAAATAAGAAATTAAACACTTAGCTCATTCAAAATAATATTGACTTTTATAAAATACATAATACAATTTATTCATTAAGATTACACAAATGAAATTCATAAAAAAGAAGAAATTTATATATATTAAACTGGAAAACGAAGTGCATAATTGCAACTTCTGAATCTTAAGGTTTATTTTCTCAGTATAATTAATTTTACGATATATATATATATATGGATATCTACTGAAATGTTTTACATTTTCTCAGAAATTTCTTAAACCAAAGTAAGTATAGAGGAGGGGAGTAAGAGGATCATTTTAAGAGTTAACATAGATGAATATTTTTCTTGGAAGAGTAAATTCGTTATAGAAAACAAAAAAATATATTTCTCAAGACGATGTTTGATGTTGTTGATCCAAGTCTACAGATATTGTAACAACCGTAGTTAAAATAGTGATAATTTTTTGGTTGGTATGCGAAAGATTAGAATGACAAAAATATTCCGAAGATATGATTTTTTGAAATCCAGATCTTTTTTAAGATATGCAAGACTGAAGGATTTGAACGTCCTATCTCTAATTATTACACTGAAAACCTGCAAATTTATTTTTTTCAGTTACGTTTGAAATTCAAAATTTTTATTTCCATTTGTTAAAGTTTACAGTATTTCTATGCTAATCGATACAACTAGAAAATCCATATTTCACACATTTGAATGGTTGCGCTTTCCTAATCCTAGTACCCACCGATGAATATTATTAAAAAAAGAGCCGTTATGTTCTGTTACGAACATGTGCATAAATAATTTATGTATAATTTGATAGGTATTTATACAAAATATTAAATTTAATAACTACGAGGGTGATAAAAAGTCTTACTAAATTTTACCATAAACTTATTGTAGAATCTTACAATAGAAAACACTTAAGTTCGTTGTCTTAAATAATTCTTTTTATTGCCTAAAAGCTATTCTTACTACTTTTAAATCATTTGAAAGTCTTAATGTTTCTTATTCAATTAATAATCCGGTCGACTTCAAACTTTCAGAAGAATGCTTAGTAAAAAAAATGTTTTTATTGTCATCCTATAAAAATTAATATTTAATTTAATTGTCATTTAAAATTTTAAAAACAGTGATTAATAAACCAATTACATCAAATGAAACAACGCTGTGCAATCTTTTAAGATTCCTTTCCTTAGTTTAAAAAAAATTCTTTTTCTTTATAATTCCACTATAATGAACTCTTCATTTGAAACAAAGGAACTTAGGGTTAATTAATTAATTAAATTAATGGTAAGAAACAACAGACCTGATTCAGATTTGTTTTGAATTTTTCAGAGATTTTGGAAGTGTTTGAAAAAAGTCTTTATGACTCAGCCACTAAAAAGCGTTTGCTTTCATAGGGGAAAAAAAAAAAAAAAAAAGAATTTGCGTTGCGGCAGTAATTGGTGAACTCGCAATCACAATAAATTTCTGTTATCTAAATTTCAAACTCTAAAATGAATTAGACCTTTTATAATAAGATAATAATGGTGAAAAACTTACCTCCATGGAGGTCATTATGGCAGTATACGATAGGTGAATTTATTTTCTCCATTTCTTTTCTGAAAGAAGAGGAATAAATGAAATACTTACGTACTTACGGATGGGTAAGTAAACTACCTGATTTCAATATTACAAATATTGCAGTTTGCTTATGCAGTCAGGTTTACCTAAAACTGCAAAGTTTCAAATTTTATAGCTTTTCAATAAAATTTTAACAATAAGATCGATGTAAAGATTTTTTAATTTGCAGATGCTTATGAAAATCTTTACTAAAGTTTAGATTGTCTGTTTTCCAAATTATATTATTAGTGGATTAAAAACTTACCTTTTGGGAATAAACTGTTGCACTATTAAGGTAAGCCATTAAAGGGCAGCTGCATTTGATATGTGCCCTGTGAAAGCCTATGCCTGCATGTGTTGAATTTTTCCTGAAACAGTAACTTTTAACTAAAGAACTACGTCGGCCTGAAAGGTCTTGTTGATCGAAGGGTCAGGGCGAAACTAGAGATTTGGATACTCCAGGATAACAGATGTTAATGGGACTCTTTTCTTTAATGTTTGTTACAAGTTTTTTACTCTAAGTACTTCCCCCCCACTTATTTATGATTGATCATTTTCTGAATAATTAAAGTAACTTTAGATACTTTTTATCGAATGAAATATTTTTCGGTAAATCTCTTCTTGAATCAAAAATATTAATTATTTCATTGAGATTAATTTTTTGCGTTCAATTATTCTCAAGTGAGAGCAAAGCTAAACTGGAGAAAATAGTTTTTTTTATTAATTCAATTTTGAGAATGATGGCTCAGTCTTAGCAACAAGCATAGGAACCGTATGTACATAAGAACATGAGGCATGCTGTGCATGCACCAAGAATATTGGATTAAATTTTTTTCTCTCGATTATTATATTCTTCTGAGCCTGTCGTCGTAGTGTAAATGATTATACTTGAGCTAGCAGTTGGAAATTCCGTGTTTCGAATTACGGCAAGGGCGAGGTTGATTTGTTTTCATGTTTCTCTCTCCCAAAATCTTAATACTTTCAACAAATAAAAGGAGTATTATTGTTTTACTGTTATTGATGCATCTATCATGATCGGTATACTGGTTAGTGCTTCTTCTATAATGGTTGGTGCTCCTAGGGCTCCAAATTTGCTAGGATTTTTGGGCTCCGGTTCGAATCCCGGAGAAGGGGAATAGTACCTATGTGGTGTATAGTATCTTTGTGGAATAGAGGAACGAAAAACACAAGGCAACGTGTAAGTCTTCTTATGTGGTTTGAATGTAGGAAAAGAATGGCGGGAGATTTTCCAGGGTGTCGTCGACTAAAATTAATGAATGCAAGTTTTCTGCATTTCAGATTCATAGATAAGTTATTTAAAAACGGCAAATAATTAGAGAGCTTTGTATTATATATATGCTTATTGTAATTCAAATTACTGACTTTGATACCATTTCAGTCTGGCGTCTTTAGAATAGATAGGCCGAGCGGTAAAAGCCACTGAATACTGGTAGTTTAGCCCGGGGTTTGAGTCCCAGAAAACGGACTGGCTGCATAAGCGTTTTCGGGGTTTTTCCTCTGTGTAACGTGGATAATGCGTCAGTTTCCTTAAGCAGTCCTCCACGGGGCATACCTAGTGTAATATTAAAAGGCGGAGCACGTAATAAATACGTTAGTTTAAAAGAAACGTCACCCATGCTCTAAATATAGAAACTTTTATCGAATTGTTTTAAGGAACAAAATACAGTTTACATAAATTTTGCCGTTAAACATAAAATTAATTACAGATTTATAGAATGTATGTCATATAGCAATTTCATAAAGCCAGCTTCTTAATTTCAAAAATGAATTTTTCAAATAATATGTAGAAAGTGAAATTTTTTTCTAATAGATAGCTGACAATGACTCCTTGACATTGTAAGATAATAAGGCTAGAAATATGATTAATTTTAATTATAGTTATCTTTGTCCTATGTTGAGAAAGGTATTACTGCAAGTAGAAAACTTTCAGATTTATGTTTTAATTATAGTAACATTCTAAGCAAGTCGCTTCCTCCTTACTGAGTGCTTTCGTGGTGTAAATGGATAGCATGTCTGGATAGCAATCAAGAACTCCGATTTTCGAATCATGTCGAGGCCACTGCACATTTTTCACATCTTCTACATCCATAAATCTAAAGAATTTACAGCAAACTTCAAATACTCACTTTAGCCATTCAAATTCCTCTTCGTACCACTGTCTTTTCGAAAATGATTCGTTTCTTTTCAGGAGTTCTCCTTCAATGTCGTCAAGCCATCTATAACAATTAATGGAATAAAAGCAGTAGTTTTTCACATTATTTCAGAAATTGATGTTTTAAAAATTAAGATTTAATACTAGTTTCAGTTTTCAAGAAAAATTCAATATTAGGCAATTTTGATTTGCAAGTAGTTTACTATTTTCACGTTTCACCTGTAATGAGAAGTAAATTTCTTTCTTTTATCCTCTTCCTCATGCTTCATAGAAATCTTACCAAAGATGAGCTGATAAATGTGATAATTATTAGAAATTGATCCTTTGTGTTGGAAAAGGATGTGTGTTAGAGTTTCACACGATATTCGCCATGTGCAGTATAAAAACACTGCTAATCTAAATCTTTCTAGAGCGCATATTGACTAAAGCGGCTATTCGAACCTTTGCCATTATTGTCTCAATATATTTGCGGTTTAATCTTGAAAAATGATTACAGTAATAAATACAAGTTAAGTTCTGCATTTCAAATTCATAGATAAGTCATTTAAAAATGACAAATAATTAGAGGGTTATGTATTCAGAAGCCTGCCTTCGTGAAGCAATTTTAAATGAAACTCGCATATTTGCACATAGAAGAAACTAAAGGTCACACGCAGTCAACCAGTTTTCAATGGCTGGGAACCAAACTAGAACGAATCATCAGTAGTAAGGAGTCTTCATCTATTCGGCCAATAGTGGGCCTCAAATTTTCTCAAAGTGGCGAATATATTTTTTTAACATGTCTTACAAAACAACGGCATCAATTATCCATGTACATTTCTGTGTTTCCTCCGGTTAGTTTTGGAACCTTGAAATTTATAAATAATTTCAACCAGGTCTGGTCTTATACTTGCCTGATCGTCAAGATTTACTTTCTTTACCATTAATTTTTCCAGCATGAAATAACGTTAAGTTAATCACAACTTTTTCATTTTTTTAGTGCTATAGTTTGATACACTTTCATTCAAGCTATTAGTTGAAAAATATGTAAGTGAATCAAAAATAAATTATTACAGGTGCTGGTTGCTGATATAGTCTAGATATAGTCTATTCAAATGTTATACGGATGGCATATTTTTGGATGAGTTATCGCTATTTTTGTGATTTTTTCTAAATTTTTGGATGCCAGTGTAATTTCTTTATACAAATTTTACTGCACATATTGTAACGACGCATCAGCAGGACATTAAACTAGAGATGCGGGGGACAATTTTATTTGTAAGAGGTTAATTCTTAAATTTGGATAAAATTCATCCAAAAGCTTCTCACAATGCCTTCAGCAAGCAATATTCGCCCATTTTGAAAGTGTTTTGATTATAAGTGAAGTATGAAATTCACAGAAATTGCCACTATTCTAGGTATTTCATATAAAAATGTGTATTCTATGAAAAACGATCGTTTGTATGTGTCAGGCGAGATCCACACTTTTTGATGGATGACCACAAAAATCAGCGTTTCCTGTCATGTTTGAATTTTCGTGGATTTAAGTGACTCGTTCACTTTAACAAATACGCATTAGTTGGATTTTGGCATATTAATTCACCAACAAGTAAAGAGAAAGAAATCCAACCTCTTAAAATCATGGCGACATTTTTCTTGTATTGTTGAAGTATATTTGTTCAAAGTATTGTTGATACCGAACTTATGCAAAAAGGAAAATAGTAAGTTTAGGTCATATTGTCCAAACCTGAAAGAATGTTCGCAAGGGCATTAAAAATTGACGAAGCGAAAATTTAAACGAAGAATTATTTCTGTTTGCGATAATATTTTATCTTGAGTATTCATTTGTATTTTTGCCATTATTCTTTTGTAGATAAGAAAATAAAAGAACATCTAGAAAATTCAGATGAGTGATACGAGCCCACCCATAATACAGCTCTAATTTATACATTTCGACTATAATTTATTTTGCGATATGAAACAAAACTTTGAACGGAACAATTTGGAACAGAAGATGACGTTAAACATGTAGTTTTGAACTGGTTACAGTTAGTAAATATGGGCAAATTAATCTTTGTGATAATGGCTTGAATTCTTTAAAAATTATCTTGAAAAATGATTGGAGGTTTTTGTATTACTTTTATGCTATTATTTAATGAAAACAATTAAAACAATTTGTTTTCATTTAAGAGTAACTTTCTTTTTCATAATACATTTTACTATTATTTTAAGTATTTTCTGTTGAACCATGGGTTTATTCATTAACTATGAAAAATATACAAATGTAAAGACACAACCCTATATAAGGCATTAAGCGGGTAAGTCTGCTGTTCCATACACTTCCGAGTTCTGTACTGCTATAATTATCTATCGAAAGAAGTTTTTCCCTCCTGGATGAGAAAGCAGGACATACCGACTCACAACAAAGATAAATTAAGAAAAGGTAGGTGTAGGAGACATTATATAAGAGAACAAAAATTACGTATAAAGTTTTCATATTTTACAAAATATAATAGATAAATTTATTGTATTTCTTCTACAAATAATACCTATATAATTATTTTACATAACTTCATATTCTATAGAAGAAACGTTTGCTTAAACATAGGTGCCGAAAACACGTTTACGTGATGAGAGAGGATACGTTATTTAGTACGTAAGGCATAAGTCTTTTGTAGTACATTTTGTTTAAATAGATATAAATTTATTATTATTTTTTTGTAATTTTTAAAATATACAGGAAACATTTGCCGAATGTGGAAGCTACGTCATTAACACAATCCGCATTTGCCAAAATTAATTCTCCGACCCTTTCCATTATTTGTAAATCCTTCGCCGCCAGTTGCTTTTGGAAATGGTACGATTTCTTGGGCTTCATTTTCAGTCAATGGAAATTCTTTAAAACTGTTGGCCTGAGAAAGCATTCATTGTTGCCAACGAGCATTAATTGTTGATGAATGATCTTTGGAGCGCGTATAAATGAAGTTTTAGAGTAAGACAAATTAAATGAAAAGAATTAAGAAAATGCTTAGTATGCGAAATCGCGTTCTGCCTATGCGCGAACGATAGGGGTTTACGGTATTTTAACCGCAGAAAATTTGCTGCAAAAAGTTAATATTGTAACAATTGTAAATGATTAAAAAATTATTTATTTTAGGTTGTAGTTTTAAAGTTTTTTTATTTTCCCTATTCTTTTTGCACTTTTTCTATTAGGTTAAGTTTATGTAAAGACATAGTTATTGACGTATTGCCATATCTCCGGAGTTTTCACGACTGGAACATCTAGAGCATGAATTTTTGCAATTTCTCTTGCTATAGTAGCTGTCATATTCCTGATGTCATCACGGTTTACATTACGAGACTGTAAATTACGAAAACCTTTATGTGAACTCATATAAATGAAAACTTAAAAACACTCATTTAAATAAATAATATAAAATATAAATGCATTCTTTTGAGCACTTAAAGCATTATTTTATGCATTGTCTTTAATAATTACTGAACATTAATAATTATATCTAGAAAAAATATCCCAACTTGTTTTCAGCATGTATGGAAAGTTTTCTGGATGTATGCATGTATATACTAACATCTTTTCTAGATGTATATAGAAAGTTTCTTTTTTTTTCTTAATTTCTGCTCAGTTGGAAGATGTTAAAATTGCAACACCTTAGATTATTTTCACTTAAACATAATTTAAATTAATAATATGCGACAATATTTTAAGCAACTAGTAATTTAAATACTTATATTTTAATTGATATGGGGTTCATCTCCAACAGCAAGAATACCATATACATCGAAAAGCTTCTCCTAGATGAATATGGAATTATTGCTATAGAAGTAGAATTCCACATAGATCCAGAAGCCAAGCATATTTTATTTCATTTTTACTTGAAAATAATTTTAATGAACAAGTATGGGATGTACCCTAAAACACGCATATCGTAATTAGCAATCCTAATTTTTTTAAATTTGACTGATATGGGATGCATTAGCCAAAAAATTATTTTTTAATTTTTTTAATCAATTTATTAACCTATAGAATATAGCTTTCTCATGTTAAATTATAATAAAGCCAGCAGCAGGTGATGTCTAGTACTGAATTTGTGATTAGGAAATTTTCATTTTGTTGATTCTTTTATAAATATATTGATTTTTGTTTAATGCTTTGCATGTGATCGTTTCAATAAAAATCATTGATGCACTAAAAGAATTTGAGTCAGTATATATTTTAAGAAATAATGATAATAAATTCACGAAGAAGAAGTATTGTTTTGCATTTTTGTTCGATGTTTTGCATTTTAAAACTCGATGTGAATACTTCCAAAAAAATAATAGATTATCAGTGTCAGCTAGACATTCTGCTTTTTGCCATTAGAGTGCTTCGGTCGTTAACAGTGTGCATTGTGACCTAAAAGACTGTTTTACTATTCTGTCTGCATCACTAATTACGCAGTTTTATGCAAGCATTCTGAAAACTTACCTTAACGATTTAATTTACTGTTTCTGAAATAAAAAAGAATTAAAATTAAATTAGAAAAGAGTTTATTTTTCTTTTCAAGATGAAGAAGTTTATTAAATAAAGACCTGTTGCTTTCGCAACTAGTGATGATTATATATCTTGATTAGCGGTAGAATATCTAATTTTAAACGCCTTAATAGCGTGTTTAGATGCATGTCTATCATTATATCACCTGCAGACTTTATCGAGTTTTTTATTGCAAATTTATGTGGCATCGGATCATTATAAAGCACTCATGCAATTTTAAAAAGTTATAATTCCAATTCTCTGCGTTGAAAAATCAGTCTGCATTAACTAAAATATTAAAAATAAGATACTTTAAGAATTTAAAAAGCATTTTCTTGTAGAGTCTATAGCATATCTCAACAATACTTTTAAATTACGCTATTGAGATATTTAATTATTAATTTCTTCATTGCGTTTCGGAATATCTATTAGCCAGTGATAGGAAGTTACATTTTGAGAAGACAGTAGAAATCTCTCTTCAGAATTCAAAGAATTTTTTGGAACCCGTGTTTTTAAATGCGACAAATAAGAAATCTTATCTAATTGAATATATAAGCTCTGGGTAGCTGGTTTTGCGACGGATTCCATCTCAGCTAAAGATATATTTTACTTTCTCTTTCATTGAATCCATTAGAATGTAGAGTCATTAAGTTATATCGATACAGGAACATAATGTACAATGCCTTCGACAGGATTCGAACCTCCCGATTACACAACAAGAGTGTTTCCAGTTACACCATGAAGGTATGCAGAAAAGAGGAAGAGAATACCTTATAAGGAATTTGAAAAGCCAAATTAGTCGAATAAATTTAATTAATACATTATATAGTTATTATTTTTAACTACCATAAAATGTGCGAAGTATTACGCTGTTCAACATTTATTGTGAATCAAGTTAGCATGGTTAAAAGTGAAATTTTGATAATTTCAAATTGTAAAAAGCCTTTTGTAATACACAGAGTTTTAAAAAACGTCAATACACTTACCGGTATGAACTCTTCCAAACGTCCCTTAGGAAAAACTCCATATAATTTAGGGCCTAAATTTCTCTCTGATAGAAGCATGTAAGTGACTGCTTCCCTTACAATAACATTGCCATCTTCCTGATGTACACCATATATCCTGAGTAAAGCTTCCTTGGGAACTCGAGAGTTTTCCACAGCACAATTCTCCGGCAGAGCACAATGATAAAGTGTATTCGATAGTCCACCTCTAAAATAAAAGTTCTTTCGTGTTAAAATTCAATCGCAGAACACCGGAGTCCATCATCTGTAATGATTTTTGAAAGATACCGCAATTTCAACAGGAACGCGCAGAAGTGCTACCAGTATAGTTTTGTCATAAAATTTAATTGAAATTTCGATAAATATTCTGCAATTCATGTAACATAAGATTTATCTTTTTATATCAATGGAGTTGCTATTGTTTACTGTACATACATTTCGATTTCGTAACAAATACAGTATACAGAAAATTAATATTTGAAAGGAAATTTGATCTCGTTGAACTTTAAGGAGAAGAAGCGAAATTTTATCTAAATTTTCAGGATATGAGATGTCGAGTTTGGTCCGTCTGATATTTGAAAAACCATTAAAGAATATGTTGTTGACATGGAATACTGAAAACATGGAGAAAAGTAACTATTTCCAATTGGGTAAATTATTGAAGAATAAAAATTTATGAAACATTTTTGAGAACAAATTTCTGTTATTAAAATGTAGTTGAGGGAAACTTTGTATCATGTCAATAATTATATTTCTGGATTATACTTTGTATTTTAGCATGCTATTTTATATGCCTATATTGATTTTTTCAGGTCAAATGCTTTTGTTTGCAGATACATTTTTCAGTAAGCGTTTAAAAAAATGTTGTACTTCCCAGTTTTTAAATGAGCTAAACTACTATTCATAATATTTACTTTTCTTTTATCCTCCTGTCAAATGTAATTGTAATTAATTATTTTTAACCTTACAATTATTTCATTCACACACACACACACACCATCACACACACATACCACACACACACACACACACACATATATATATATATATACACACACAGAGAGAGAGAGAGAGAGGAGAAATCCTTTTAACTGGTTGCAACGGGAGGTGCTTATTCCGGATAAGAGGTCAGCCGAATAATTTAATCTATACTTTTAGAACATATTTGCTCCTGTTTTGTGATGCCACCTGTATAAAATGAAACATACGTGGTCTGCTGGTAGTGTTTTTGATCAAGTGGTTAAAATTATGTATTTAATACTGAAAATCGCCGCTTTATTTAAAATTAAAATACATGATTTTATATGTAGGTTTACTACTATTGTTTTCTACTAACTACTTATTTTATGTTTTGCATCTTTACCATCACGTCTGTTTTCTATTTCTCTACCATAATGTAATTAAGGCGTTATGAGATAGAATTTAAAGAAAGGTTTCAGGATTTTCATTCAGAACGTGTTACCATGAAGGTTTCAGAAGTTTCATTCAGAGAATGTTTCTCGAGATTATGTTACTAGGTTAGCTAGCTAGGAAAAGGTTGTATTATTTGACTTGACATTAGAGTTGCTGATGCTTAAATTATTGTTCCTGTACGAAGCCAACTTCATGTTAGTAGTGCGTAGTCTTGGACTACTAGCTATTTAATTTAAATTTGAATTTGATTGTTATTTTAAGTAACCTCGCCGCAGGTAGCTGGAGGAGTTTACAAGCACGAGTCGTGCATTTATGTTCAAAGTTTTGATTCAATGAAAATGTGAAGAATTTTTAGTTCTATCCAGACATAGCGATAATTCCCTTAACGTCTGTTAGGAGTTTGATACTCAGTTTATGCTATCAAAGAAAGTCCAAGTTTACGTGTATTTCAGAAAAAGGAAATTCAACAACATTTTTGAAATTACGATATTTATTATTACATGAAAATTGCGAATTTCTTAGCACGATGGCATATAACTTCGAATGCCAACTTTCTTAGAAGACTGTCGCTTCAATTATAAAATTCTCTATGTACACAAAGAAGCTTCGTAATATCATATACTGATATTGATGAATATTTATCAACCAATCCTAAGAAAACCTTTCTTCATTTATCAACGTAATTTCCTTGATCTGAATGTTGTTCCCTTTCTTCAACCGCCCTCTCATTCTCACCATCTTTCTTCTTTCCTAGTACATGTCAGATTATTTTGTTGTCCCCTTCAAAAACTGCGTCGAGAACAGAATTGTCACACAAGCCTGCATCTTCTCTTCATTAACACTAATTATTTTCTCCGAATATGTAAGTAAATCCCAGATGTCTGACACGGGAGCCGGTCCTCTTTTGAAACCAAGATAATGTTCCCGATTCGTCATCTACGAACATAATCATAGGCTACCATTTACAGCAGCAACGACGTGAAATAGTGTTGTTTATATTTTTCAAAGAAAGAGATAAAGTAAATTTGCCGTCTTTCAACGTAAATTGTTTCTGAAAATCGTGGAGGCTATTTTCAAATTTGACACAGAGACGCATAAAAAGGGATTAGTAGTTCATCCTTATATTACGGATAATTTCTTGATTCACTAGATTTATAAGACTTAACGCTTTGGGTAGCAGAAATATAGCAACAACAACAACATTTTTCAGATTGCTAGATCATTATATACAAGTATCGTTATTTTGATAATGTCAAATAACTGAGCATTGTTTACAAGCGATTATAATATTTATTTATTTATTTAATTTATTTTATTTACTAATTGTAAATTTATTCCATTTATTGTTATTTATTTTTATAATTCTAAATACTTTGTTTAATTAACTATTATTTTCCATCTAAATCAAATATTCTCGGTTCAAAATATTTTACATACAGCTCTGGCAGTTTCACTCTTATAAATTAGGTTTCGGAATGTTTTAGCATTAAAATTAAACAATTTTAAATCATAATCTGGGATTTATCTTTGATGAGAAACTGACTTACTGTCTTCATAAAAATGATTTTTTCTTTGAAGGGGCTGAAGAATTAAATGTAAAATCTAGTGAAAATGTTACCCAGTTAGAATATACTCAATGTTTTACCAGTTAGAATATGCTCAACTGCTCAATATTTTATGATCATGTTTTTACTATACAAGTTTAGGCATATGACATCCTCTGTAACCTATGAATTCGTAAAACCTATGAATAAAGTGTATTTTGTTTTGTCTGTTAATTGGAAAGATAATAACTTCGAAATGAGTTTGAAAGAAAAGCAAGAATACTTTTAAAGCCAAAACAAAAGTGTATTTACATGGAAAATATTATTAAGAAATATACGATCAGCTCTAATTTTTGTCTTAGCAAATCTCACCAATGGTCGAGTATCTAAATTCGATTATATTTCTAAAAATGAATTATATGCATTCCGTACCGTTGCAGAAAAAGCAAAAAATCTCAGTTCAGTTCCCAGCAATTGAGAACTCTGGATGTGTCTCTATTTTTCTCAGGTACACTCCTGTCCAAAAAATAAGCAACAAAAGCAAAAAGTGGAATAAAACAATCACTATTTATTGAATACGAGGTGAAATCGACCCAAGAGATTGGCATGGTATTACTAGACCCCATAGATCGCGAAAGAACAAATGAATGAGAAGAATGTGCACCGGTAACATCACGCTAATAACGGGTATGATACCCTGTAGCTGAAACGCATGCTTGACAATGGCCAGGCAAGCTAGCAATAGTGATGTTGATTGTTTGTTGTCGCAGTAGCTCCCATTCCTGTAGTAATGCATGTCGAAACTGTTTCAGGATGCCTGGTGGCCCACTGTGACGTACTATCTGTCGTTTCAACATGTCCCGCATATGTTGTATGGGATTCGGGTCTGGTGATCTAGTAGGGAACGATAGATGGGGAATCGTTTAACTCTCTAGATAAATCCACATAACTCAAGCTCTATGCGGCAGGGCGATATCGTCCATAGCTATCCGCTCGGTACCCATTGTAGTGATAAAAGAGCTCATCAGAGCAGAAGAGGCGTAGAATTCCTTTGCGATATCGGACGGCTGTGACAGAACCACAGGGAATAATATAGAGATGGTACTGCTAGCCCATACATATAAGTCTCTTCCTCCGTAATGGTCTCTTCCGACGATGTTTGCGCTCAATATCGTGTCCTCGGCTCTCGCCATATCATTGCCTTCGGGAATTGTTCTGTATATTAAATCGAGACTCATCCATATAGAGTACTTAGGCCCAATGCTCCGGTGCCCAACTGTGATGCTCATGGACCAATTCAGCCGTACTTTGACATGCGATGCGGACAAAAGAACACAAACCACAGTTTTGCAAAACTGCTTTGTAGCAGGCGAGGGATCCACTGGCACAGGGTTCCCTCAACTGCCTCCTGTCCAGAACGAGGTGACGTTACGTTACCTTTCTGGTTGCCGCAGGGGGCTATATCCCATATTATACTCATTTTTAGTTCTATATGACAGCGTGGATTTAGACAACTCTGCACTTTGACCTTTCTGATAATCATACGTACATGAAATGACTTTTGAGTGGTAAATCTCTTTACCTATTATATATTCATGCCAAATTTTATTCAAAATATGTCCATTAGGTTTTCAGAAATTCGATATAATGTACTGATTCTCTTAATTTCGCACACAAGTGTACAGTAGACCTCTTCAGCAAAAGAGAAAATATTCAGCACCATATAACTCAAGAGCACCCTGCTTTGGTTATTAATCAGCTAATCTAACTCAAAGTACAGTTACTAGAGCATGGTAAATCCTAGGAACACTGATCGTAGTCCTCCAAAGGTGTTCATGGGTACTGTGGCTCTTCGATGCATGTAAATAATTAAACAAAATTACCCTTTCTGATAGGAATTAATTTCATAAATTAGACATAGGTTTATTTTCTGAAATTAGCCCTACAGAAGGTCGTCAGGAAGAAGAGGAAGAATAAATATATAGAGTAAAAAATAAAATAATAAAATAACTAATAGTTAAAACAAATAGTTTGAAATTAAAATTAAACAAAATGTAAAGAGATAAATAAAAATTTAATAAATTATTACAGTAATGATATTTAAAGAAAAAAATTCGGACCGCGTCTTCATTGGGTCTCCTACTGGAATTACAATTTTATTCAGAAAATGAGAGTTAAACCGGCGTCCGGCCGACTTCAAGTCCTGAATATATGATATAATGCATTATTTCAAGGGATGATAGCAACAACA